CTTTGTACCCATCAACATCAATGGACCTGCATTTGCAAAGGACAAATAAATGTAAAACGCTTGTGGGTGTTGAATCTCACAATAAGACTAAATAACATTTTAGGATTTGTAAAGTTCTATAGAAAGCCACCAAACGCAAAGATCTCAAGTGAGGTTTTTATTAAGCTGTTAGAAAGCTGTTTCAAAATACAAGTGTTTGTCAAATGAATTCTCGATCCCCTTTTTGGGTGAATACAATGAACTATATATAGTACTTCTAAGTAAAATGGGCCAGCTAATCAATGGACCTGACTCATTAAGCAATATATCTAATTTAAGCCCATTATTCTATTAAGCCCATTTTGCTTATGGGTTTAATATCATTTTGAGCCTAGATTCAGACTGTGCATTTGTAGACTTGCTTTGATTTCGTCAAGACGTTGTGGAGTTGATCTCGTCGCCATATCGATCTCATATCCGGCCCTACAGTTGGCCCCCCAGCTTGGCAGTATCGAGTTATGATGATGCCGAGGTAAAAGTTGGTGAAGTCTGAGATCGATGTGTTGGATTGCAAAATTGCCAGGCGTGGACGTATTATCAACGAACTCAGGAAGTTTATGTTATTCCGCGTTGAGCCGATTTATGCGTGTTTTCATGGACTTGTTTTCTTTTTCTTTGTCTTAGAGGACTAAGGAGGTTGATGGTCTTGTTGCGTTTGTGGGCCTTGAGACCTGCTGAAAATTTCTGGTAAGCGGTCCCACGTAGATAGGAAAAAGGCAATGCGGATGGAGAAGACTTGGATAGATTGAGGCACGCTTCAATTCCTCGACGTGATCGTGTGGTGACGACTTTGACTATTCCTTCTGGTACGAAGGAGCCCTTAAGTGATGTTGCGCGGGCAGTGTTGCATTTATCTCAGATCGTCTTCCTAGACTCTGAGTTTCCCCCTCCAGGAGAGATGTCGAAGAAGAGATCTTACTCAACCATGGCCCTCGATTGCATGACGGTATGACTTTGTGGCAACTCTTGTTGGATATCGATTTGTTTTTTCCTTCTTGCGATCTTTTAACTTGTTTTCCGTGATTTGTTTCTTCGTTTGGCAGTTTTTTTCTTCGCTTAACAAGCTCGAGATTGACTATGAGGTGACTGCTCGCTCGCAGACTCGTCAACTTGCTAATGTTCAGAAGGCTTGTGATGATC